GGTAAAAGTTCCATCTTGATCTATAACAACTTTGGCAACTCACGTTGGTTTATGTGTAGGTTAATTACCTTGTTAGTTAGTGATGTTTACTCTGATGAACACTTATATAATTTGGATATCCCAATGTTTGAGCTTAGGAGTTTTATCATATGGATTGAATATGAATGAAAATGAAAAAATGAAAAGTTCAACCCACCTTAACCCCACGGACCAAGGTATTAAAAATGGTAAGGATTGGGTTAACCCAATTTTATTAAGTCACAATTTGTTTTAGGTTTTAAATTTTAGTTCGACCCTACCTAATTTGCGAGTTATTTAGGTTGAGTCAGTGGGTCAAACTCATTTTGTTATCAATAATTCTCAGTCTAGTCCATACCAAAATTATATTTATAATATTTGAAGTGTTAACAATTAAGAAAATTTATAATTATAATTTAATAGTTAGATTGATATAAATTACATTCTTTATAATAATGTAATAGTTTATATAACTTATAAATAGGAGTGAAAATACTTCAAATCCCCCAACAAGGAATTTATATATGGTCTTCCATGTCCAGGTCAAGCCAAACCATTTTAGTAAATAAATCATGTAATATATAAGTTATATTTAAAATTTGTCTAAATTGATATTTTTAATAATATTTTAAAGATAAATAATTTATATTGTGATACAATTATTTTAATTATTTATAATATTAAAATTTAATTCATAAATAAATATAGTAAATAAAAAATTAAATTAAATAAAAAGTATAAAAAAAAAAACTCTCAAAATGCTCACATTGAAAAATGATTTCTAAAAATACTCTTGTACTAAATAGTCATTCATATTTAATATACAAGAGTTTGATTAAAAGATAAAATTGTAACATATTCACTAATTTTATTGCAAAACATATTTTTAAATAAGTTATCATCATTGATGTTGAATTAAACCTTAAAAATATACTTATATCTTATAAACAAGTAACTTAATTCTTATAAAACTTAACAATGTTTTTTTTTTTTTTTAGTTTTATCATGATGTAGTGGCGGATCATAGGAGTCACGGCTCTCCCAAACTTTTCTAAATCTTTTTTTTAATATATATATATACATTTATATATATATTAATATTATATTTATATATTATTATATTATTAATTATAATAAAACTAAAAAGTTTAAATTAAAAAAAGAGAAACTGTATTATTCTTTTAACTAATAAAAAATTTATAATTTTATATATATAAAAAAGTAATCTGGTACCTTAAAATTTTTTTTCAAGTTCGGCCAGTGTCATAATATATTAAACTATTTTAAAGTAACCACTTTAAAAAACTTATAAGTGAGGTTAAAATTAGAAAAAGAAAATCTATAATAAAAAAACAAACAATGTTCAGACCATATAATTTTGACTAAGCTATATTCGGGAGCTTATCCTAATCTATTTCTGCCTCAGTTTATAAATATGTAATTTGATGTTTCTCTCTCTCTCTCTCTATACGTGTGTATTCGTCTAGAACCACATATGTCAGAATGTTTTATTGAATATTCGACTAATCTTAGTTGAATTAGATAAAACAATTGTGAGTGAGAAAATTCTCTTTGATCGTCAATTGGTCATGATGTTATGATTGTTATCCTCTGCAATTTTACTTCAGTTTTTTTTTTTCATTTTTTTTCAAAGTGAGGAGTTAGTTAAAACTTAACTAATAGTTAGGAATAATAGAATATACTCTTAAATGTTCTTAAACCGAACCATTTTAGTACGGCCGGCTCTGATCTGCAACTGCTTCCAAAACACAAATGAATTTGGTGCCTAACTGTTGTTGGCTACAAGAGTTCAAAACAAAAGAATACAAAACTTGGTGCCAATCTCTAACATTACATGAATACATGCACAAAAGTATACCATGAATATATTTTGCATAATATTTTAAAACTTTAATTTTTATTAAAGTCAAAATAATTTTATTGAATCTTGCCTCTTAATCTTTAAAGTAATTAATTTTTATGCACTCTTAGTCTTGGTGTAAAATTTTATTGCCAATCAGTTAAAATGGGTAGCTAATATGACTTTTATGATGTTTATAGTAAAAGTTAATAAATTTCTCATCCATAATAATTTGTGATTAGTTGATAAATAAGAAGAGTGAACTAATAATGGATACATCATTAATATAAAAGTTTTGACACTGTTAATCGATTAAAAATTACTGTTATTGTAATTTTTAAAATAATTATTATAAAATTATGTGATGGTTGTAATTAGATGACAATATAAACATATTTTATAGTGTTGATATATAGGTTTTGTTCTCGATAACAATTAGTAAGAAAGTAGAAATTTGCATGGAGTGTGTGGTAGCTAGCTAGGAACTGATACGTACAGCATAATACAGTCCTAAGTACTCAATACATGGTATAACACGACCATTGAGAAATACCATGTAAGGCTAATGGCTAACACATCACATGCAGAGACCATATATTATCCTTTCATTCATAACTATAGTATGACTAGAAAGTTGATCTCCACTTCAGCACTCAGCATATAGCTCAACTGTGATGTCTTTCTATAGCAAACATTGTCAGGGTGCAATAACGGTGGTGATAAGAGGCCACATGAATGATCCTTTATTAGTGGAACACACGAAAATATTATAGCTAACTCATTTTTTGTGGCATGAGATGCTCACCCTCTGACACAGACAGTCCTTACAATTTTAGGAAGTTGTTTTTCAAACATAATAAGATAATGCAAAGTTGCAAACCTCTGCCACACGCTAAAGGGGTCACATATGACATATCCCTTGGGAATATATAGGCAATTATGAGAACTCTTGCCTTTGAAGATTGGTCTTGCAATTGGGTTGTATTGTATCGCAAAAATTAACAGAATGGGCCATGTGGTAGCAGAGAATATGCTTGCTGCCACTATATTAATTGGTCAAGTTATTTTCCAAACAAAGTTACACTATTAGGTGAATCATAAGAAAAAATGACCCGGATGGACCCCTTAATCTTATTAGTTTGGAGTTGGAGCTTGTTTTGTTCTGTCTTTCTGTAGGGCACTTTTGACTCTGGTTTTCTGGCCTTAGTGGCACTCTTTCTACTGACCATAAATCTAAAGAAGGTACTCTGACCCAACTTGGTGAATGAACTTTGGGTCCATAGTGGAGATCCACATGTTAATGGTACTAATTTGTAAGGTTCTATAACCATAGCCCAATACTTTAATAGTTTGTTTCAAACAGCTTTAGATTAAAAAAAAAAAGCTAAAAAGAGATGAAAGTAAGGGCAATGATTCCTTTTCCTTAACAAGTGCTTGGTAAAAGTTACAACTTGTTCATAGTTTCATTTCACCTTTTGACCTTTGAAAATTGAAATGCAGTTCTATGATTGGCTTTTATTGAGTTTGATTTACCACCTTTCAGTTCAATTCAAAGCTCTCAAGTCTCAACCCAATTGCATTTAATTAAATCCTAACGTACAATAGTTATTAGGACCCTTTCAAAAATACTATTGAATAAAATGTTAAATGCAATCCGAAATAAGACAGAATGGAACCCTCAAATAGACCGAGGAGTTAACACACTCTCAAATATCAATTAGATTGAATTGTGGGAATTTTAGTTTTGTTTTCACGATTAAAATTCGTATATTAAGAGGAAGGGGTCATAGTTCAAAAAGCAAAACTATAATTACAGGTCAGATCCATTACAAAATAAAATTAATTTTCAACATTAACTTAAAGATTCACCCATAACAATATAAGAATTAATCATATATTTATTTTAAAGACTTTACTAAATTGTTTAGATTTACATGTACAGAAAATTATTTTAACAGATCATACACAAAATCAATCTTTTTTTTTTCTCTTTCTATTTTCTTTATTTTTTTACAATATAAAATAAAACGTTCAATAATTTAATTTTTCTATATTTTTTTTGGTGAAATTTAATTTATCTATATAGTTTTATTTCATTTAAAAAGCTTTCTTAGCTGATGATGTAACCTTTTTGTGTGTCTTGCCATTTCTTGGTGGCATGTATATCAACTCCTACATTGACAATAAAGTTTCAACGTACAAACATCTAGTGAGACTCAAGAAAGTGCAACTTTCTTCTTTGATCCTTCTTTAATGATAGGAACCTTGAATTCCTTAGAAAGCTTGGAAGAGTCACTTGAAAAATCCCTGTATAAAAAGCTTGGAGAATTTCTCCCATATAAATCAGTACACAATGCTCCATGTGAGAAAATCCTAATTTCATAGCCACAATCCAAGTACGTTTGTTTCCCCATTTTAGCATTCTTTTCTCACATTACAAGAAACTTAACGTGACTGGAGAAATTTGGTTGATCCACAATGGGGTTTGAATGAATAGTTCACACCTTAACCATTTAGCAAAAATTGTGAAGGGACTTCACATGTTATTGATGGCTTGCAAAGAAGTATGCAAAGTGAAAGTATCATTGCTCTCTTCTTATCTTAGCTTGGTTGGGATGTTTTGAAAAATACCGGTTAGACAAAACTTTACTGTTGAGCAATTAATCTTACGAGTACAATGTTTATAAGATAAGAAATCAAGAGCTCAAGATAAATTTGAGCACATAGTTCATTGCATTTTTTGTTATTATTACTATTATCTTTGATCGACTGTGTCCATAGACATCAGAAATTGCTAATGTAATAATTGCTATTGGCACTAAAGGATGGAACTGAATATCAATTGATTAAGAAATTTATGGGGGAAAATTTACAAGTTTCATTGAATGTCTCTGATCTAGGATTTGCTTTCTCCCATCCAAATATAATGTTTCTATAGTTATTGGAAACGAAAAGTAAAAATCATACCCTAGTTTTGTGAATTATGCAATGGATCGAGAAAAAAGTAAATTGGTTAAATAATGAAACAATAACCCATGAAGAAGACAAAAACAGTAATAGTTAAGAGATAAATAAATAACAAATTCAGATATAATTGCTGAAATAGAACACAATCAAATCATGATTTCATGCGGGGAATGATTTCATAATTAATACCAAACTCACGGTTCTCTAAATTACAGTTTTACTAAACAATATATTCCTTATAGTAAGCTAGCCAGATAGACAATGAGGGAGTGATGATGTGTAGCAAATGGTTTTTGTATGTATACAAGAAAGGAAATAGAGCATTTTTTTTTATTCACTATACACAGGGCTCAATGTTTCTTCAACTACAATGCATTTCAAAATTGTTTGTAATTTACATTCATCCTATCCTAATGGCTAGCAATGTAAATGTAAAAAAAAGAAAAAAAAAATCAAATGGTTAGATTCTCTTGAATGGCAATAAATGATCCTACTATCTTTCCTCCTACATCTGGGAACTCTTCATGGCCAGGAAGAGATCTTACCTTACCCTTTCGATCAACTTCTACTGGGTACTTGAGCAGATGCCCTCTCATCTCTGTTACATCATTTGCGGCAAACTGTTTCCAGTTCAGTTCCCCCATTGTTCTAACCCTTTTAACACATTCCAGGCTCTCTGGTTGTAAGAAGCAGTCTTCTATAGTACCTGTATGTTCGGCCCAAAGTGACATCCTATATCCATGGATCTGCATAGTATATTTTCACAAAGAATTACAGTCAGGTCAGGAAATGTATTAATCTTACAAAAATGTAAAAACATATATATTAGTAAACCAGAAGGTAATTCAGAACTTATATCGACAAATGAACATTGAGTAAACACCCACTTTGGTCCTTGAATTTGGAAGGCACAGATATATTAGTTCTCCCTAAAGCTAAGAAATTGTAAATCAGTCCTTAGAATGTCACAAATCCTCAAATTTAACTGCTTACTTTTATTTTAGTCCCCGAATATATCAATATTAACACTATAGTCACATTTTTTTTTTTTTTTATTTATAGTTTTGGACTAATGTAATTGTCAATTTATTCTTTCAAACATTATTTTACAATTTTTTAATTTCAGAAACTAATGGAACATCTTCCAAATTTAAGGACCAAAATGAGTGTTTACTCAATGAACATTTGTATTACAGGGAATTAGGAAACCAAAATAAATCCAAAGATGTTGGTTTTGTGGCCTGATGGTCATAACGGCCTGGTTGGCTGGTTGCTTGGATATGACTCCCTTAAAGTGAAACATGCATTTTAGAAGCTAGAGTGGAATTATAACTGTTGATTGAAAAATCGAAGGAGTGGATTTTAAGTTTTAACAGCTCGTCAGCTTAATACTTTGTCATATATGTGCATGTAATTTATCGCAACTTGAACTATTAATTTTTCAATCAACGGCTCTTCTTATGTAAATATGTGAGAAGCCATCCACTTTAGAAAATCTTACCTGTCCACGTGGAAAAGACCGTCTTCTTGCCCAGGTATGATTAGGTTGGTAGGCTCCCATCGCAATCTCAGTGTCCCTTGTTCCTTCCATAGAGCGCTGGTTGATGTTTGCAGACCCCAATATGACATATTCATCATCAACTATCATGCCTTTTGAATGAACATAAATCATGAAACGTCGATTGTTTCTACTAATTGCCTGGACAAAGAGCACCAGCACACAAGTTCACAATTGCATTCAATAAAGGGAGATTGCATGCAGCTAAACAGACTATTAAGATGCTTATAATGATTATCAACACATTTGTCTTACCTATAAGACATGAATTTCACAAATTAAGAAAAAAAAAACTTAAGAATCTTAGACAGTTATAACAGCTTTTCACAGTTTACATTACAAAATAACAGTTTATAATGAGCTATCTTGAAGCAACTTTTTATTCATTACTACTAGATATCTATAACTTCATAAGAATTCACTGTTTCGTGGCACTGCAGAAGCAGAAAAATGTAACTGAGAAGGGAAAAGGGCAGAGCAAAGAACTCATACTTGTGGACTATTTGCTGGCGGAGGATTTCCAGACACTGTGATATTCTCATACATATCTATGGCCTCCCGATTGCCAAGACAGAAAAAGTTCAAATAGTCTTGTGGAGAGAATGCTGCTTCAAGCCCAACTTCAACCAAAGCCTTGTAAATTGTCTCGTACATCATTTGCATTGTTTTATGCTGAAATTTTGTAAGAAAAAGGATTCAGATAAAGAAATGCAAGAATCAAGTACTCTAAGGTGCTATAACTTTCATTTTGCCATCAAGCAGCCAGGATTCCTAAATAAAAGAGCCAAGACACTTGTTTTTGGCAGGGAATTTTGACTGCTGATTTCTGGAATAATTTGATTCTACTTTTTCTCTCCCCCATAGAACCTCACATTAGTTTGGAATGATGAAATAATAATGATAATAATAAAAGAAGCTTTTATTGTTCTTTAAAAAGTTATTGATGACCACAATAATATTTTCTGACGTCAAATTTACATTTTCATTTGACATATTTCACCAGCAGAAAAAAATGTCCTCTCTTCAAAGGGGAGTAAGAATGTTCCAACCATTATATTTTAGTTGGATAAGATTACAATGCAATTTAAATCGAATCAATGGTGGAAACACCCTTGTTTACTTTAGAGATAAGTTCACTTTGAAGGAGCCTTGTCCTTCAACAACATATCAATGATTTGGAAGTAAAGTGTGCAGGACAATACTCCAGCAGCCAAGTTTGTTAAACTAAGAAAATCACTCATGCAACAATTATATACATATACAGCCTTAGTTGTTGTAATGTTGTCAAAACATGCGTGTAGAGAAAACACCATGACCTCTAACAAACGAGTGAAGGAAAATAACAACAGTAACTTGGACACTGAGATCTTCCGAGTCATTCTCTGGGTTGCTTCTGAAACATTTATGGAAAAATTGGCTATAAAGGTCAAGGAATAAAAATTTCTGAGTCTCTCAGCCCTCTATTTTCCTCCTATTTTTGCTTCTGAAATGTAATTTGCACTACACCCTACAATCTTTTCGGGGAAAGCAGTCAATAGGCAGTAGCCAACATCAAACTTAGTCTAATTTTGGGACATGGATTGTTGACAGAGGGCAAGTTGATAAAAATGTACCACATGAAACATGGCTCAATAAAAAGGGGCAGAAGAAGACTGAATACTTTAGGAGAAGCCATAAAAGAACTTTATACTAAATGATGTTATTGAAAGTTTGGTTTTTTATAATGCAGCTGTTGGCTCAATCCATGCATTATTGGGAAAAACAATAAGGCTTAGTTGTTGGAAAAAACAGACACCTGCTCCACAGCAGAAAGGATAAGAGAATTGAATGGGAAAATGGTCTAACATGATTAGAATAGAGCTTATATGCAACCTGATGCCAGAGTGAACCAATCCATATGTCAACCAATTGAAAACCTTAAAGACATGATTTCAAATATTTCATAAAAGGAAAGCCAAAATAAAATGCAATTGAAAAGAACTAAAGAAAATCCTTCATAGGCCTTGTCATTTGAATGAACCTATAAAAAAATGAAACTCAATTTCTTCTTTTGAAAGCATTATTACATCTTTGACTAAAACAAATCAGAGCAGTGACAAAGGCACTATTCTTTTAGTGTATGTATATTCTGGGGCCAGAGGTCACATAACTGCAACCCACCGAAAAGATGTTCCAGCTTCACAAAGTTTTAATCCTTTTTTATGGGTCAATCGGGCATTCAAAATCTCATGAAAGTTCAATCAAATCCTTGCCAGACAAAATGGTTGGCCTTTATCTTGTGAGTTGAAGCATACCTGCCAAAATAGAATTCTTTGGGTAGCAGCACCTGTTGGAACACCCTCTGGCCACATTGGAATGACAATGTACACTGCAAATCTCTCATTTGCCCTTATCTTTGCAGCAATCTTCAGCGCAATTTCCATTGGAATTAAATTATTAGCACCTGCAAAACACGTAAGTTTTAACATTGAAAGGAGATATTTTAAATAAATCTAATTAACCTCATTAATTAATTGAAAGGAAATGATATTTTTTCTTTTATATAATATTAGTCCACTCAGTTTAATATGAAAAATATGAATTTTACATTATGAATTTTACATAATGAATTTTGGCTTTGGATACTTTATCCATACAAGAGCTGATATACCACAATAATTTATGTTCTACAAAATCTTCAGCGCAGTAACAGAAGGAATTCTTGAAGGAAAAAGCAATAGTTGTTCAGAAAGAGGAGTTCCATACCAAGGTCTTTATGTTGACTCCAATTATATGAAGACCCGATGAAATATTGATTCTCTATATAAATGTAATGTTGTGCAGCACGAATGGCCTTTACATATGCTGTATGTATGCTCATGTCAATCAGCACATTCTTCCCACATACTAGATTCTGAAAAAACACAGTAATATATTTAAGTATCCCATCATCACACACAAGGCGGCTCAAATCTGATGAATTGAAATCTAGCATGAGAAACAAAACAAGAAACAATAAAATCTTTCACTCACCATGCTTGATGCATCTTTTGGCTCTTTTGGAAATCCCTTGACAGAATTTGAATCTATTGAACGGAATATCTGTATTCCAAAGCATGTATGATCAACAGTTTCCTTTGACCAGTGTAAACGAAATAATAATCTGCTTCTTGAAATTCAAAATATCTATTCAGTAGTAATTGACTAAATACCTGAACATGCCATGATTCAGGATTATCATCAACAACACTAGCAGCATTAGATGCACTGATAATATCTCGGATTCTGTCTAGCTTAAGCAATGCATCATCGTATGAACTCTTCAACTTTTTAATACCTTTAGGTTTTGCAGCTCTTAACCAGCGCTCCTCAAAGTTGGTCAAAACATCGTAAGCTGCTGGACCATCAATTTTAGAATGCAAGTCATGCCATGGCTCCCGTGGACAACCACCAGTATTGCCCTGTCATTGTATAATTCACACCATCAGAATAAATTGGTCTTCTTGCTTCAGCCTTTGTTTTAAAATTCAAACTTATTGGTTCCTAGCTACATCCATTATATTTTAATTTTTATTATTTTAAGGCTAAAAAATGTTTCTGTCATGAATTTTCAGGAAAAATTTAGATGTGCAAGAAATATGGAATAGATTTACAGAGTCAAAGACCAGCTAGATAGCGACAACATCTTATATAATAGATTATATATATCACTGGCAATGCTAGTTTTATGGTTCAAAGTGTGTTGAACTGATCAACATACATGATAATAGCCAAATATGTATAATTTTCTGAGTAATATTAGGCAATTATCATACATGTCTTATGCTTTTAAATAGTGTTTTTCCCAAAAATTAGCAATAAAAATTATATTAGTTTGTAACACTCGTTAGATTTGACGTTTTAGCGACTCCACTCCATAGCAATTTACACGATGACATTTCACATATCTTCTCGTTGGTTTGAACCCTTCACCGGTCATAATCCTCCATGGATAGCTTTTTCTGACATGTCAACTACCTTTAGGATCAATGACCATCCCTATAAACTAACACAAGACTTTTCAGTGTGCTTTGTCCGCACTCGCACACTTTCTGAGAAACTTTCAAGAATATTACCCATTCCTAAATGGCACTTATAATGCTTATTGCTAGGAATAGAGTAAGAATTATTAGTCAATGTTTAAAACCCCCGATCTTAATGCAAATCACTTAATTAACTTTACCAAATAATTGAGATTTTAATTAAGAAATTTAGAATTTTTCACCTAAGGGACAAGGGTTAAAAATACCTTTATTGGTTGTTGGATTAACAATATAATTACTGAAATTGAATGATTGGAAGGATAGATGTGAGGAAGGTTAGTGAAATCAATATATGATATTCTTTATTATTGATTCACAACAATATTTTAATTAAATTTCATAATATAAACCCAAAAAATACATTCTTTAGTTTATGCATTCAAACAAATTCTTATATGTTTCCTAATTAGCATTAAATTAAATTAATTATTCGTAGTGCAAGTCTACATGGATTCAATACTTGGACTATTGTCCATTTTACTGTTTGCAACAATTGGAATGCTTGCCAAAAGTCTAACAATACACTTCAAAATAATCTCTTTAATCTTCCTTACACAAGGAAATGGAAATATTTCTTTGTCGTAATTTGGTTTCTTGTAGAAATACTAAAAATTTGAGTTATATACCTTTGTAGCTTTATTCTATTCACACTTACTTTTGCTCCTTCTTCCTTGCTTATTAAATGATTGATGGAAAAATTTAGTGATCATGCAACCAAACAAAAATACATTACCGTGAAAGTAGGGTTGTGATAGTCATCCTTATGCAATGTCTGCAGTGTCCTAAAGAGAGGATGGTGGGGAGTATCATATCGCCCATCACACAAATCAAGTCCACCAACAAACGCTACAATTTTTCTTTTGTTATTTCCAGCATCAGCATCCACAATTACAGTTTTCTGATGATGTGTATAAATTGTTCCAACTTCCTGATAAATAGAGGAAGAAATTTAATGTGGAACTCTAGAACTGAAATTGTAAAATATGCAAATACATATATATCCAATGAAAACATGTAGATATAGAAACAGGTACTAAAACTGAACCTTGTCATAAATTCTGGCATTCATCATATGAAGTTAAAAAAACTACCAAATGGGATCACCCTATCAGTAGTAGTAATATGTGCATCATAAAGTATACCGAATGGGGAACAGGAAAACATCTTTAAAATCTTCTTACAATGCAGTGAATAAAAATATTTCAATAAGTAGAATCATTGTCGAACCAAACCTTTTGTTTGGCCCAGCTATGTCGTTTTCCAGCAATGCGAGGACAAAGCAGCACTTGCACAGAAGAGTGCTTAAAAAAACGTCTAGTTTCCTCATCATGAGTTGCCATTACACCATCCTGAATGTAAAACAGAAGAGTTTTGCATAATTAAAATAAAAGAGAAAATCATAACCATAAAACTAAGATTTCAAAAAGAAAAACTCATTCAAGAGTCTAAATATTAAAATAAAGTAAACTTCATATAGAGCATGCTAGAAATATTATTAACACAGGACAAAGGAATGACTTTACTGTTTCACATGCCATATCAGAATAATCATTTAGACAAGAGCAATAGCAAGTTAATTATTATTGGTATGACTTTATGACAGATTATAAACAGAGAATTCTGGATGGAAAAAACAAAATCACAAGCCAATATATAAGAATTCCCAAATCCAACTGTAAAGAAAGTTTGATTTAAAGATAACTGAATTATTTACGGCCATTGTCAGCACATTGGAAAGACAAAAACAGAGTTTTTATTATGAGGTTCCGAACTCTGAGTTGAGCAGAGTATGAAGAAAGTTATTTCATCTCTGTGGTCTGTATTATTTCATACGAGAAGGATACATATAGAAAGAAGAGACAAAGAAGGAAGTGATAAATGGGATATTCCCAAAATTAACTAGGAATCACAAAATTACAAAAAATGAAATAAAAATAGAATAGCTGCTTTACTCCTTCCAAATAATAAGATGTAGTGATTCTCCTAAAATTTAGAGATTGATTTTCGACAAGAACTTATGACCTCACTTGGCCTTATTTAAATATACAATCAACTCTTGAACAATTTTTACCTTCTTAAGTTTCTATTCACAATAGCCAACATCTATCTTTTTTCTTGTCCACAATGAACAAAGTTCCAAAAGAAATAGAATGACATAATCAGGATAACAGCATGCAGCAAATGTGTCCACATGCAGACAAATGCAAACCAAGTCCTATAATGTGTTTGGATATATCCGTTGGTAGAGCTCAAATGGACATTCAAGTTAATCGATCGTGACAGTTACTTTCATGTTCAACTGACTTGGAATTAATGCAAACAATAAATCAAACACACCTAGTCCTCCTTAAAACAGAAATGCAGTAATAGGTAACATAAAAATATTACATTACTAACCATTTTGTAACCGAGAATGCTTCTTGATGTAGGGTCATCCCAAACAAGGAGAAGCACTCTTACTCCTTCCTGTGACTTAGACCTCAGAAGATCACCTAGGGTGTAATTTGATGCTTGGCCAGCATCCCTTACCAACCTAACTTTGTGCCACACTGACCACCCCGTAATGTAAACCAATCGCTGTGCTTGTTCTATGGCATGAAAGATGTCCAGCCAACACTTTCCATGAGCATAATACATGCCATGGTCAAGCACAACATTAGGGAGGCAACCATCTGGAACATGAGCGTCTTGATATAGAGTAACGGTTCCACCTTTCCTCAATGGAAAATATGTGCCAGGAACACCAATGTAGTCAGGGCCAGCTCCAACTCCTTGATGATAAATGATAAGTTTTTCCATAGGAATGTACTGAATGGATACACTCAAGACGGCACCTGGCTTACAAGGCTTCCCATTGCTATTCAGGATAGGGTAGTTCCCTTGTACCTTTTCCCCTGAGTATATTTGCTCCACAGGAATTGCCACAATGCCAATGAGCTGTGAACCCACCACATCGCTGTCCTTTACAACAAAGTGAACTTCAGCAGCATGATGTGCAACAGGAACATAGAAATGTTGCTCCCAAACCGGATTCTCACTATTGCTAATCACAAAAGTCCTCCCGATCACAGCATTTGACACAGTAATTGACACATAAGGATCACTAGTAATCTTCCGGCTCACAGTTCCTTCAATCTTGTTGCTCACATTAACAGGCAATTTACCAAACATATCCCCCAAAGTTTTGTGGAACATGTCCATGTTTGGAAGGTGTTTGGCTCCATAAACCCAAATATCTAAACTCCCATGCAGGAGCAAAACCCTCAGAGACCCTTTGCTCTGAGCTGGCACAATCTGCCAGCTATGACTACGCACCGAGTCATCAGAATGAGCGGAAAGATTAGAAGAATCCACCTGATCCAAACCCGAGGAGGGATAGCTAGAATAACCATGAAACTCATCTCTCTTATCTATTGAAATTGAATGTGCCAATGGAGGTGCACTTGGAAGGTTATTATCAGAAATTCTAACATTGCTCATGAGATCATCCAAAGGAGGGTAAGCAGATGAGTGAGGAGGGTTATAATCATCACTAGTGTGAGACACTCCACCTCCTGTGACACTCCATTCTTGAGGGAACTGATGAGGGTAAGGATAAGTATAAGGTGGCTGAGGCTGAGGCTGAGGTTGAGGCTGAGGTTGAGGCTGAGGAAAGTCAAAGTAACCATGTGATGTGGTGGTTGGAGGAGGTGGTGGGGGGTATGCATAGTCTATGTGGCTAGAATAAGGGATTGAGGAGTGTGGTGGAGGTGGTGGAGGGTAGGAGTAGTCGTTGGAATATGGAGGATTTGGTGGATATTGATATGGTGAAGGTGCATATGGATCATGAGGAGGGTATGAAGGGGTGTTGCCAGGATACATGTAAGGGTTTGGATGCCCATATCCATATGGATTCTGTGAAGACCCATAATTGTCCATTAATCACAAACCCACAGAATTGAATAATCAGTTGAACTTCAAGATTTGATTTTTCATGCAGAAGGGTGAAACCCCAGATGGAATTAACACAAAGGGGGTTGATTGCACACGGCACAATGAAAACAGAGGCTGAATTGAAACTGATCGCATGCAAAATTGATGAAAAAAATGGAAATTGAAGGTAATACCGATGGAGGGTGCAGCAGAGAAGGAAGGAAGTTGGGTGAAAGAGAAGATTTGAGAGGAAAAGGTTTATGATTTGGAAGGTTCAACGAATAAGGTGAAGAAGATGCATTGCTTTTGCAGTGCAGGGTATGGAAATGGATCTCTCTCGCTTTTCCTGTTTTACACACAGCAGGTCAGCTTGGTCCCACTGACATCAACTCGTTCCAAGTTAATGAACGCGTCTTTTTGTAACTGTTAAATCAAACAAGAATAACACAACACATTTGCTACCTTGAAAGTTGAAACTATAAAAATAATCCATATATACAACACATTTCCATCTGAACCACCGGGATCCAATTCCACAGTATATCACAATCATCCAATTTTTCTTCTTATCTTTCAAATCTTGTTTATTAATAAAAAAATATATATGTGTGATTAATGTCCATTTTGTTGGTCTAAGACTGTGTCGAATTGTAATATAGATGTAAAATATAATTTTAGCAGAAATGAGTTATTAATAAAATTCATAAAAATTTTATATTAATAATATAATTGTTTTAAAATAAGATATAATTTTAGTATTGAAAGACGTTAATATGAAGGGAGGTGCTACGGTACGTCGGTACCCTCAAAGATTGAGAGATTTTATAAAAATTAAAAAAAATTAATTTAATTATAAAATGAATAATCCAAATTATATTTATAAAATGAAAAGTAATATAAAATTATAGAGATTAAAATTATAATATTTCAATAATGTTATAAAACATTAAAAAAAGAATTAATAAATAATAAAAATAAAAAATTATTAAAATTACAATATAGAAATTCAAAAATTTAAGACAAAAGACAAAAATATATTTAAAAAATTATTAAAATTAAAATAT